GCCCCCAGTCTCAGACCACCACTAAATCTACTCTGTGCCTCTGTGGCTCATCTATTCTGGACATTTCATATGGAGAGAATCCTACAGTATGTGGCCTTCTTTTGCGCCCAGCTTCCTTCATTTCGCACAGTTTCTCCAGGATGAGCCACATGGGATTGGGACCGTACTTCATTCATGTGCTCTGGAGAGGCAGGGTTGGGGGAGAGTATGCCAGTTGCAGAGCTGTTTCTTGGAGCTCCCCTTCTGAAACTGAGTAACATTCCTTTACCAAGAATAGACGCATTATGCGGGCGGCCTAGATAGGCACCGACATTAGAAGACGTGTTTTTCCTATTCAGAGGGATGACGTTGGTCGGTCAGTAGCTTTGGACCACTGGGTGAATTCCTTGGAACAAGGTCTTCCCGAAAGGCTGACTCTAGTCTGCTTTTGGCATCTTATTTTTAACACTGACCTGGGATGGCCTATTAATCTGCTAAATAGAAACCTGAAACCAAGCATGTGTCTAGGGCTTGATTGATGGTCCTGGTGCCACCCAGCCAATCCTCATGGGTTGAGGCTGCTCTGCCTAGAGGGGTATCTTGAAAATCTCTTTGGGTTGTAATTCCTGGTAATTTGCATTTTAAGCCTTGTATCCTTTACCACTACACCACGCGGTAGGTCATCTTTTCATTTTCAGCCTTTTATCCCTAGCTGCTTCTTGGAAACGGTAATCACATGGCTGTGTGTGTGTGTGTGTGTGTTCTCTTGTCATCACAGGCCAGCGCGAAGACGTCGAGCCCTTGGCAATGTGACCATACCCGTGGTTCCGGAAGTTCCCAAATTCGCCTCCACCATTGTGCCCACCAGTCCAGCAGAGCCCCGGCCCTTTGAGAAAGTGATCAGCAGGGAATCGCTGGTCATTTCTGGCCTGCGTCACTTCACTGGCTACCGTATCGAGCTGCAGGCTTGCAACCAGGAAGTCCCAGAGGAGCGGTGTAGCGTGGCGGCCTACGTCAGCGCAAGAACCATGCCCGAAGGTGGGTCCATCGGCCCAGCCGGGGCCCCTCTAGCAAGTGTGTACGAGGACTTGAGCAGACTCACCCTTTCTACGAGGTGTTTTCAATGACATGAGCCATGTGTGGCCACCACCTGAACTCTAGAAAACACACACAAGAAACGAGATGAATAAAATAAAGTGAAAATAGTTTTAAAAAAATAGATTTAGTTACCCGTAAATCTCTGAGTGTGGTGCTATAGAATAAACACTGAACTGTTAACCATAAGGTTGACAGTTCAAATCCACCAGCTTCTCCTTGGAAAGTCTATGTTGTTGTTGTGTGCTGTTGAGTCGGTTCCAACTCATAGTAACCCTGTATAGGGTTTCCAAGGAGTGGCTGGTGGGTTTGAACCACCAACCTTGCCGTCAGCAGTCCAGTGCTGATCCTATACAGGGTCACTCACTATAAGTTAAAAGTGACTCGCCAGCACTTAACAACAACACATGATGTTTGGATTTCACTGTGTCTCTGTGTGTGTGCGTGTGTGCGTGTGTGTGTGTGTAATCTGCTCTTTTTATAACTCAGAAGTGATTAGATTTACAACCCACCCGACTCTGTATGATTTATTTAACATAAGAAAACTCTGTTTCCAAACAAGATCACATCTACAGGTTAGAATTCCAACCCGTATTTTTTGGGGGGAACACAGTTTAATCCTTAACACTTCCCTACACACACACATATAAACTGAGACTGCGTTAAATTCATTAGCCTTTCATTGTATATTCTTCCAGAACTTGCGTTTTGTAAAAGCACGTATACTTACATACTTCTTGTTGTTAAGTGCCGCCATGTCGGTTCTGACTCATAGCAACCCTATATAGAATTTCTAAGGAGCAACTGGTGAGCAGCTTGCAGTGCAGCGCATTATCTCCCAGCGCCACACCAGGACCCCTACATACTTACTGATAAGGGACTGAAATAAGCCCTATTGGTCTTTTGTCATGCATTCTTCTGGAACTTTCCTTTGATTAAAAATTACGCTTGCATACACATGTATTTACTAAAATGGAATCATACTAGACAGTTTTTGACTCACTTTTTCTCCCCACCATGGGGCACATAATAGTTGTACACATGCCAATATTTTTATCTGAAAATCTTTTCTCAATGGATACTTCGGTTGTGTTGCTGTTGTTAAGTGCTGTCGAGTCGATTCCGACCCATAGTGACCCTGTATAGCATTTCCAGGGAGCAGCTGGTGAGCTTGAACCACTGACCTTGCAGTTCAGATGGCTTTGCAGTCTGACGCATTAACCCACAGCGCCACACCAGGGCTCCTGTGTTGCTGTACTCAGGTTTAAAAGCCAGATGAGCATCTCTGTGCACTTGTCCAATAATATTTCTTTGAAATCTGGAATTGCCGACTCAACGGATGTGCATTTAATAACATGAGGCTCTGGTTTTGTCACTTACCCCCCAGGCGAGCTATGTCTTTTACCTAGGCTGGCCAGGAGTTTTCTGAAAGCAAATTCCTCCACTCGTGTGAAAGCAGGTCCATTCGTGGACTCACTCTTTGGTACTCTTAGTGATTTGCTCATCATTTTTGCCCTCTGGTGCCACACTGTTTAAATTATTCAATTTTTCTGAGGTAAAATTTCTACGCAATCAGATGTGCAGATTTTGAACATATCGAAAATTCTGTGGGTAGCACTGACATCTTAATTTTAAATAAAGCAGCGTGGAGATAGAGAGCTAGACCTGCGATCCCTCTAAGGTCTACCACAAGATCCCCAGCTTTGTGTTTTCTTTCAACATCCCTCGAACAGCGATAGTATTTTGAGCACTTCCTCTGTCTCATCCGTGTTCAAGGCCCTTTCCATGTAACCAAACCACACCCACCCCAGCTCATAACAAACCCCGTGTGTGTCCATGCAGAACTGTGCTCTGTATAGTTTTCAATGGTGGGTGTTTCAAAAAGAGATCACCAGACTTTTCTTCTGAGTGCCTCTGGGTGAACTTGAACCTCTCACCTTTCATGTAGTAGTTAACAGCTTACGCCACCTGAGAGCTCCCTTTGTATACTAAGCCATTTCAATCCAGATAAGGCCTGTAGTCTAATTGGTAATTGTGTGCCAACGTCAGGTCCCGGTTTTGACAATGTGCTCTGTCTGTGTGGGGTGGTATTATCGGGGCAATCTACACAGCACTTCTCCTCTTTTAATTCAGATGAAACCCACGTGACAAAATGAACTGTTTTAAAGTGAAAGGTTCAAAGGAGTTTCATACACAGCTAATGCTGTGTGATCACCACCCTGCTCTGATTCCAGAACAAAGGGACCTGAGTGTCGTCACTCCTCATTCCCTTCAAGTCTGAGGCAACCACTCATCAACTCTCTGTCTCAGTGATAGAATTCGCCCCTTCTAGACCACTGCATTGACTCATCAGACACTAATGGGCTTCTTTTCACTTAGTATAATGTTTTCCGGGTTCCTCTACACTGCAGTGTGTATCTGTGCTTCATTCCATTTCATTATTGAACACCATTCTACTGTGCGGACAGACCAGCATTTGTCCATCCGTTCATCCGATGAGGGACATTTGGGTTGCCTCTGTCCTCTTGGTCCTCATTTTGCACCTCCTTGTGAGTCTAAAATGATTTCAACAGGAAAAAGTGCTTAACTGTCTTCCAAACTGTCCAGCAAAGTGAGTTTTTTGTGTCCATTATCTGTAGCCAGCTCAGAGTCACTCTAGGGCTGGGACTTGACCAAAGGGTCAGTTGTGTCTCCATTGCTAATCGCCGCTCCCCGCTGCTACTTACAGGCAAAGCAGATGACATTGTTGGCCCAGTAACCCACGAAATCTTAGATAACAACATTGTTCACCTGATGTGGCAAGAACCAAAGGAACCCAACGGTCTGATCGTGCTGTATGAAGTGAGCTATCGGCGATACGGCGATGAGGTAAGGCCCTTGATGTGTGGATGGGTACCTTCTAGACTGTTGGTGGTTCTCTCCTTCACCTGCTAAGTCTTGTCCCAGACGCTCTCGAAATAGCTTCTTATGAGATGCTTGGACAGTGGGATTCAGTCTTGCTTCACACTTTCCAGAAAAATGGGTCAGAAATGTCAGCCTGCTGTTGTTAAGTGCCATCAAGTTGGTTCCAACTCACAGTGACTGAGCAAAACTGCGAGTACAACCGAGCAGAACCGCGACCCGGTGTGTAACCGAGCAGAACCGTGACCCGGTGTATAACCGAGCAGAACCGTGACCCGGTGTATAACCGAGCAGAACACCATCTGGTCCTGCGCTGTCCCTTCAGTAGTCACTAAGGTTGAGACCATTGTTGCAGCCTCTGTGTTAGTCCATATCCTTAAGCTGACCTTCCACTTTATCGAGCATGATGTCCTTCTCCAGGGACTGGTCCTTCCTGAGACCACGTCCAAAATACGAGACACAGTTTCACCATCAGGGCTTCTGTGGAGCATTGTAGCGTCACTTCTTCCAAGACCTATTTGTTTGTTCTTCTGGCAGGCCATGGTGCATTCCCTATTCTTCACCAACACCGTAATTCAAATGCATCCATTTTCCTTTGCTCTTCCTCTGTCATTGTCCAGCTGTTGCATGCATATGAGGTGATTGGGAATACCACAGATTGAGTCAGGCTTCTAGGATTGCTACAGGTCGGAACTGACTTAATGGCAGTAGTTTGGGCCTGGGTAAGGGGACTGTGGAGGGCTGGAAGGCTGCCCCCTCTGGTCCCAGTGCCCTTCCAGTGTCTCAGCTCCCTGGGTGGCTGGAGTAGAGCGATCTGAAATTTGAACTTAAGCATTTTTAGTTCTCATGTTGCCTTTCAAGTCTGTCCTACAGCAGTTGGATGAGGGCTACCTCCTTGTTTGTCCCTTCTGATTTGACTGGATCACCTCCCTTTAAGGAAGGTTGTCTCTGGGAGTAAGTACGGGAAGCCTTAAGATGAGATCTTTCCTTGGGCGCCTCCCTTGAGGAGGTGCTCAATGCTGCAAAGTGCCAAGTAGGTGCAGATGAGCAAGAGATCGGCTCTACTAAGAAGAGGAGAAAGCACTCTGCCGCTTTCTGAAAGGTGGGCAGTTCACATCCATCCAGAGAGTCCTTGGAAGAAAGCCTTGGTGATGTATTTCCAAGAGATCAACCTGAGGAGCACAGTTCTACTCAGAAACACACGGAATTGCCTGGAGTCAGACTTAGCTTGGCAGCAGCTATTTAAAAGACTGTTGTTTTGGGTGGCAAGTCCATGGTAGAAGTCTCCCCATCCATGTGGAAGACCCAGGTTCAGTTCCGAGCCACAACACCTCATGAACACCCACCACCCACCCATCTGTTCTCAGAGACCTGCGTGTTGCTGTGATGAAGGACAAGTCTCAGCAGAGCTTCCAGAATAAGACTGACGAGGAATAAAGGCCTGGAGACCGACTTCTGAAAGTTGTTGTTGTCAGATGCCATCGAGTCGGAACCGACTCATAGCGACCGCATGCACAGCAGAACGAAACAATGTCCGATCCTGGGCCAACCTCACTACCGCTGCCACACTTGACGCCATCAATGATGCCACCTGGCTGATCCATCTCGTTGGGGGATCTTCCTCTTTTTCTCTGACCCTCCATCTTACCCAGCATGACATCCTTCTCCAGCGACTGTTTCCTCCAGACAATATGTCCAAAGTAGGAGAGATGAAGCTTAGCCATCCTGGGTTCCAAGGATAAGAATGTTGTTTATTGGTCCAGTGGTGAGGACTTTTGTTTTCGTGACATTGAGATGTAATCCATATCAAAGGCTGTGCTCTTTGACCTTCATAAGTAAATGTTTCAAGTCCTCTTCACTTTCTGAGAGTTAGCCAGTGAAAACCCTGTGGATCACCACAGTCTGATCTGCAGCCAGTCCTGGAGTTGGCCCAAGACTGGGCAGCATTCTGTTTGGTTCTGCCATGCATCCATCAGGTTGCCTAGAGCCAGGCTAACTGCAGGTAACTGCAGCTAACCTGTCACTGTGAAGTGATATTGCATTGTGGACTTGAGTTGCGTTTTCCGGGAAGGACTCCTGGTCTGGCGCTGTAGGATCAGCACTGGACTGTTAGGCACTATGTTCGGCAGTTCACACCCACCAGCTGCTCCTCAGAAACCCTATATGGGATCACTATGAGTCACAACTGACTCGATGACACTTAGCTGAAGTTCTGGGAAACTAGCCTGGATAAAGCAGTCAGGAAGGAAACTGTGGGGTTGCACAGTCTAGCACTCGTCTGCGAACCCAAAGATGGACAGTCTGAACCCACCTGGTGTGGCACTTCCGGGTAAGCATTAGGCTACAAGGTCGGCAATTTGAACTCACCAGCTATTCCTTGGAAACAGGGTCACTATGAATCAGAACCAACTTGATGGCAGTTAACAACTGCAACCACAACCGCAGTGGCAGTCGCTCTGTAGAAGAAAGACCCGTCCATCTCCCCCATTAAAAGTGACAGCCCTGGGAACTCTATGGGGCACTGCTCCGTCACGTGGGTTTGCCCGCCACGAGTTGGAATCGAGAATGAGCAGTCAGGACCAGTCCTGGAACTGGGGTGGGAGAGGGTGGAAGGAGCGGCTGCCAAAACAGCTCCTGGGCCCTGTTGGCATTGAGGAAGGGTGTGGCCTCCATGCAGCAGGTATCTGTGTCCATGACCCCCAAGTCCTGGGTACGCTAGGACAGTTGGTCACCTACTGGCATTAGACCTAACCCTGGGCCTAACCTTGCCTTAACCTTAACACCAGCCCCAGCTCAAGCCTCAACCCAACCCCTAACCCTAGCCCCTGACTCTGATCCAACCCCCAAGTTCCCCCCAACCCATGACCCTGATCCATCCTTAACCTTAACCCCAATCCTAATCCCTGGCCTAAATCCCAACCCTAAGCCCCTGCCCCCGACCCCAATGCTATCTTCCCAGATGCCTACAGCTCACCTACCCCTCTAGTTCCTGGGACCTAAGGATCTCCAGCAGGAATCCTCACCTCAGTCTCTGCCCCACCAGCCCAACCCTGCTCCAGCCAGACCCACCAGATGAGGGGTGGGAAAAGGTCATTTAAATATGGACAATTTCCACAAACTTTGTGAATGCCCCTTATATTGTCCCTGGAGAAGGACAGACAGACGGGGAAACAATTAAAACACCTTTTCATAGACAAGACTGGGCACTTATTCCCAGCATCTCCTTTTTCATTTATTTGTTTTGTCAATTGTGAATCGGGTGCCAGTTCAAGAGCAGATCCTCCGTTTTCTATTCAGCAATTCATGCCTATTTTGTTTCATCTCACTAACTGGAATTTCCTCAATGTAGCATGGCATATCCCTTTGTTTCCTGATTCCATTCCCCCGGCATTCTCAACTTTGTCTTTGGGTAAAGGCTGCCCTTTTGGTCACAAATGGTTCTGGTGTGTGTATTTCACTAGTTTACAAAAACTTTGTCCTCGTAAACCCATCTTTTGTTTGGCTGAAAATTGAGCAGCGAGGATGAGTTTAGATGCAAATCTGAAGAGTGACTAAGGGTCATAATCTCAGCGGTTTTATCAGTTACCATTCCACCGGTCAGGCCGGCCTTTGTTAAGAGTTTGAGTTTTGTTCCACAGTTTTCTCATACTCCGTCCAGGAGCTCCTAATGTGATCCCTTTCAGAACGATTGTTGGTGGTAACTGGGCACCATCTAGTTCTTCTGGTCTCATGGTCGTGGAGACTGATACTCACGGGTCCATTGGTCCACTGGACTCATTGATTCCAGGCGTCTTTCAATTGTCTTCACTCTTCTTTTCTCGGGACAGGGAGCGACCAGTAGTTTCACTTTAAATGGCTCCTCATGAGCTTTTAAGACCCCAGTTGCTATTCACCAAAGTAGAATGGCTTTGTGGACTCCGCCACTTAAGCATCGTGTCCCCTGGGTCTATGGTCCTGAGCCCCCATCCCAGTGACTCATTCCCTCAGGGAGTTTGGTTATATCTAAGACGTTTTCACAGCTCTGCCTCTGTATGTTCCACCACATCCATGGATATCCTTGCAGCAAAGGTAAGTATCCATGTATAAACGTCACCTGTCAAACCTGTGTATTTGTGCCATACACCCATTCTGCCTCCCACACCCTGTCAGCCTGCATGTCTATCCATACATCTACCCGTGTTGTTGTTGTTGTTAAGTGTTATCCAGTTAGCTTCAACCCATAGTGATCCTGTATAGGGTTTCCAAGGAGAAGCTGGTGAGCTTGAACCACCGACCTTGCAGGTCAAACCGACTTTGCCGCCCAGCGCATTAACCCAGAGCGCCACACGAGAACTGTTAATGGCAGAATGGGCATATACCTCTGTTGTCTTTAACTGTTGCTCTCCTCCCAGTGTTCCTCCGTCATTCTTTTTCCAACCTCCATCTTATTGTATATTTCTTGCCTTCCCCTTCATCCAAGGTAACAGGTAACTTACCCTCTAGCCAGAGACTTATTGTCCCTTCCCACCTTCCCGTAACCCCTGGTAACCATCAAAGAATCTTCCTATTAGTATGAAAACCTTTCCTTGAGTTTTCACAATAGCGGACTCACATAATATTTGTCCTTTTAAAATTGACTAATTTCACTCAGCATAGTGTCCTCCAGGTTCAGCCATGTTATGAGATGTTTCACAGCTTGGTGAATATTCTTTAACACTGCATAGTTTTCCAGTGTGTGTATGTACCCGTTCTTCCATTGACGGGTATTTAGGTTTTTCCATCTTTTCGTTGTTGTTAATAGTATTGCCATGAAATGGGTGCACATATTTTGTGTGTGGGTGCCACAGCTCTTATTTCTCTAAGAAATAAGTAAGCAGCGGGACTCCTGGGTCATTCAGACCGCCAGAAGAACAAACAAATCTGTGTTGGAAGAAGTACAACCAGAATGCTCCTTAGAAGCCAAGATGACCAGACTTCACCTCTCGTAC